TCTTCTTCTTCTTCTTCTTCTTCTTCTTCTTCTTCTTCTTCTTCTTCTTCTTCTTCTGTTTGTTTACATCTTCCAAGAGTTTATGGGAAAGTAATAATTATTGAACTTTCTAAAATTTCATTATGTTTTCTTTGCATATAAAAGCAGGTACGGAAAACCAGTAGACATTATAAGGCAGAGCCCTTTGTGTGAATATGACACAGTTTACTTTTACAATGGATTGCTTTCTCCAAGTTCACTGAATAAGCTGCAATTGACTGCTTGTTGTGGCTAGAATCCTACTCACAGTTCAGATACACTTGACTTCAATTGTTATTAAGAAGCATGAATATTAACTAATGAAAGAATGATTATATATACAGGTAGTGTCCAGTTTAAGAACGAGTTCCATTCGCAAGGTCTGTCATACCTTCATACAAGTTGAATTTGTATGTAAGCTTGAACAGTATTATTGTATAATACTGTCTAAGTAGTATTGTGTAATTAACTCAAAGCACTGTGTACTTAACTTGAATCACTGTGTATTTAACTAGAATTTTGCTATAATAGTCTCTATTCTTAACTATGGGTCATCCTTAAACTGGGCGTTCTTGTCCCAGGCACTACCTGTACTAGAATAAAGATAGATTTGCATCAGTTTTACACAGAGCAAAGCCTATTGACTTTTTGTTACTTGAATATGTGTGATATTATTCCATTCTGATTTTTTTTATGTTTCTGTTCTATTTTTTTTTTTCTTTTCAGCTTGCATCTGGGGTTCTAATCCTGAAACAGTTTATATTTTTTCTGATAAAGCCACTGTAGAATTTGTCACAGACTATTCTGAAAACTTAAATGGTTTTAATGCAACCTACACTGCACTTAATACAAGTGAGCTAACCAGTAAGTAGCACCTGTAATTTATATTCTAGGGCTACTGCAAAATGGAGGTATGACTACTGCTTCAAAAATATAATGACAACTCTACTTTGATACCATGACAAATAAATCTGAATGTGCGTGTGACTATACTAATTCCAATCTGTGGGCAATGTCTCCGCTGATTGTGCATTTTCTATATTCTGATTTCATTTCTGGCAGCAGGACATATTAGGACAATCCATTGAATCCTATATTATTTTTGCACAGATTAGACAAGCGTATGACTAAAACAAAGACAAGTTACTACTTTCCCTGTATGTAACAGCTGATCAGCTATGTAATTTAAAAATTACAAAGGGGCAGATGCTTTTTTTCCCCATCAACTGCCCATTGAGTCCTTTGCCATCACTTTCTTATTGCTCTCTGGTTCCTTCTGACTTTCTTCTTAATCAAATGCTTCAGCTCAGTGATGGTAGTATCACATGAAAGCCAATATGGTAGACTGGATCCATTTAGGTCCTGGTTCAAGCCCCCTTCAATCAGGGATCTCACTGGGTAACTAGGCCAGTCATTTTCCCTCAGCCTCACAGGGTTGCTACTCTAAGAATAAAAATGTAACTTTATGCTCTTGAGAGAAAAGTCAGCTATAAATTAGATAAATTAACATGACCACATAGTTGTTCATGTAATGCCTGCTGTACTGCAGGGCTTGAGGCCTTTTGTTCTCCAGACAGATCTTTTTCCAGCAGTGTTGCCAGTGAGAAAAGTGAATAAATAAGACAGGCAAGTAGGCAACAAACTAACATTGCTATGCAGAGCTCAAAAAGGCAGTGTGGATGACCAAGCGTTTCATGGGGAACAACAGCCATTGCTCCAACTCACTGTAACAATGGTGCTAAATGCTGGCACTCTATTTCTTTTTGTTGTTATATTTAATGCCATGGGTATGGAAAGCTGATAGTTCATCAAAGATGCATGAGTTCCATTGTATATCCAAGGAATTGTGGTTTCTTTTCTAAGTCATCTAAACTAATTTCCAAATTTAAACTGAAAAGTGGAAACTTTTCAGAGAGAAGAGCACCGTAAGTAACATTATTTTGTGTATAGTACAAAAATGATTATAACCAACTGATACATTGCAGAATTTCAGTGCTCATTTACTCTGTTATTTTTATTCCAATCTTATCTGAAGACAATGAAAAAATCAACTGTACTTTTGAAGATGGATTTTGTTACTGGATCCAAGATCTAGAGGATGACAGTGAATGGGAGAGAATTAATGGCCCTACCTTTCCTATTACATCTGGCCCAGATTTTGATCATACCTTTGGCAATTTATCAGGTAAGAAATATTGTGTGCAAAAGAAACATTTCTTGTTGGTTTCTATTTTTTTTTAATCAATGTATTTTGGAGAGAATATAAATATTTTCTATTCTGTTTCTTTTGCTTAAACTGAATATATCAAAGCAGTACACACATTTGGAGGATTAGTCCCATTAAACTCAGTGCTTTGATCTATAAAAATGTTTGCAAGTACCTTTTTATTAGCCATATTATTCTAATACAATTATGATGGAGAGCATTTTATTTATTTATTTATTTATTTATTTGTTTGTTTATTTGTTTATTTGTCAATCATATTTATATAGCTGCCAATCTCACATAAAAGTGACTCTGGGCAGCATACAGCACTTAATTAAAAATAATAATTACATTTAAAAAGTCACAATTAAAAAATAACTATAAAAATCACACAAAATAGAGAGGATGGTATTAACCACAATAAAGGATCCATTGCAAAATCTCCCAGTCCCTAGGACCCACTAGCCTGATCACATAGCCAGGTCTTCAGGGACTTGTGGAATGTTGAGAGGAATGGAGCTTATCTCACTTCTGGAGGGAGAAGATTCCACAAGGTAGGCCCCACAGCAGAGAAGACTCTCCTCTTGGGACTGCCAGATGGAATCCTCTGACAGGCAGGACCCGCAACTTGCCTTCTTTGCCAGACCTGATGGTGCTATATTGAAAAACACAGTGCCTCAACATATTTTATATACATATTTATCTATATAATTTCTTTTATAGGGCATGCTAGACAGGTGAACATAGAGAGTGAAATAGAAAAATGCATGTCTTTTCCAGAAATTCAGGACAGACATTTTAATATTTATTTATTTAATTTATTTATTAAATATTTATTTAAATTTATATGCTGCCCATCTCTGCAAATAAATATTTATTTATTAGATTTGTATAGCCACATCTTTTATAGCATAACTTTGGGTGGCCCACAAACAATAATAAAAAATATAAAAGCCAACAAAAATGTCCCAGTGCCCCCAAATGCAACACATCCCCACACATCCAAAAATAACTTTAGAACTTCCCTGGGCTCCAACCTCTCACTACCCCAAGGCTTGTGGGAAAAGTCAAGTCTTCACGGCTTTTCGGAAGGCTAGGAGGGTAGGGGCCTGCTGGATTTCAGAGGAAAAGGGTGTTCCAAAGGCTAGGGGCGGTTATCAAGAAGGTGTGCTGCCTAGGCCCCACTAAATGGCAACATTTAAGGGAAGGGACCTGGAGCACACACCCCCATCAGACCTAGTGGAACAGGTAGATACCCTCAGGGAGAGGTGGTCCTGTAAATAACTTGGCCCTGTGCCATTGAGAGCTTTAAAGGTGATAACCAGCTCCTTGATTTGGCTAGATTTTTCCTTCTCTACATGCTTTTTTGATCATCCTTATCCTAGAATTAGACACACTTTGGTCACTCTTTAATAGAGGAGTGTTTCTGGGATTGCAAAGTAGGATGATGATGATGATGATGATGATGATGATGATGATGATGATGATGATGCACTTTGAATTATGTTATCATGCAGGATACAAATTTGGTTAATTAAATGAGAGTAGAGCATCACTGAATTATCAGTAATAAAAAATAACAAAAATGAAAATAAAGATGAAATCTTTTCTCACCATTAGTCCTGCTGGCAAAGGCTGGTGAAAATTGGCATTCATATACAGTCACTTCTCTGGAAATACTGGCAAACATGTATTTCATAAAGATATTGCTTAGGTGTTTGTGTATATTTATATATACAATTACTTCTCTCTCTCTCTCTCTCCCCCCTCCCTCCCTCCCTCCCTCCCTCCCTTTCTCACATCGCTTTTCTTCCTGCCACCAGTATAAGGCTTAAAAGATGAGTTGACCAAATATAAAAAAGGCAGGATGAAAATATCATCATCATCATCATCATCATCATCATCATCAAGTTTATATATAAATTAGCAGAATGCCTTCTTAAGTCAGCAAGAATCAGAAATTTATATTGTATCTCTCATAAGAGCATATATGCTTGTTTATTTTTACTTTATCTGATTTTTACAGGCTACTATATTTCAACACCAATAGTTCCTGGAAGCATACCAGTGACAGTTCAACTATTTAGTTTACCCTTAGACCCCATTTCAGATGCATTCTGCCTAAGTTTCTGGTATAGTGAATATTTTGTTTATACAATAAGAAGTTATTATTATTTGTAGAAATAATAATTCTTTAAAAGCTTGGGGAAAAGAATTTTTTTTTTAAAAAAATGAAGATTGTATATACACAGAGCCCATAGAAAGATGTCTGTTGAAGGGGAAGGAATATGAAAAGAGAAGGGTATATCCTTGATCTGAATAAATGGATAGAATGTTGAACAAGCACATCCCATTTGGAACTTAAGAGGTACAGTTTCTTTACTTTTAGAAAACAAATTGTTTGAAAACCAAGCCCTAAATTTATTATGTGAGCAATTTCCCAACAGAATATATTCACATAGTGGCTACCGTTCTAAGTTATGAAAGGATCTGAAGTGCTTGTGGGGCAAAGTAGTGAAAAGTTCATTTGTTTGAGGGTGGGGTTAATGGAGCTCTGATAGACACTTTTGAGGGGAAAGCTTTCTGATATCTGAAGCTGCAATATGAGGAGGTCTAACGAACTGACCAACTAAATAAATAAATGCAGAAAAATCGTGGCTTGGTCAGGGAAAGCAGGATGGACCTAGGGATCTTAAGGATATTAAGTGCTTTACCACGTCCCCAAACTGAGGGGCAATTTAGACCAGCAATCAGGACTGCCTAAGTGAATTCCCTTAAAAAAGCTATTTCTTCCTCATCTATTGCTGACAGACATGTTCTTCTGAAGTCAGACAGACAGACAGTAGATTTCACTTTGATAAGATATTATATAATTTATGAAAATTGCTTTCCATTCAGGTATCACATGCATACCATTCATGAATATCATCTAACTATTAAAATTATATATGACCATTACACTGAAAAGATCATCTTCCAGAAAGAAGGAAATTATGGAAATAACTGGAATTATGGACAAATAACATTAAATGAAACATCTAAATTTAAAGTATGTTAATGTATTCATATTCAGCAGAGTTTTTAATCAAAACTGTCTTTATTTTCTTATCATTTCTGATCTTCTGTCTTAGTATTCATACACACCCATACACACAACTACAGTACTGAGATAACAAAATCAGATTGTGTTATTATGCTGTATTTCTGGCAACAAAAATTGTTATTGGAACTTTTTTCTGCCTTGGGCCATCCAGCCGTTTCTCCAGTTGAACCTTAGCTAGAGTAATGAAATAAATATATAACTGAAATTAATTTGATATGCATTAGATAATATTCAATATAAAGCTTTCCTCTGCCTCCTACCTTTTAGGTCTCCTAGGGGAATTTTAGATTCCCAAACAATATTTCTAGCACTTGATTATACACTTTAATTGTCAAAGTTGGCTTTTAAAGGGAATGTGTGGTTTATAAATTATTGCCCAAATGTGTCTGATAAATCATCAGAAACCTTCTACAGGATAATTGTTTCTTCATTTTCTGTGGACTGAACAATTGAGTTAGCCCATAGGCTTTCAAAACTCATGTCTCATCTTCCCGATATTCTGGCAACAGTGCTGTCAGCAAGAAAAAAAAATACTCCACACAATATCTGAATCTGAATTGTTATTAGTTCTGTTTAGGGGAAGTAGAATTCCTTACAAAGCAAATCTAAAATTAGTAACTTATAGCTATTCACATTAGTACAGGAAAGGTAATTTTTTTTTGGCCAGTGGATACACTTAGAATTTTGTAACCATGTCTAGATATTTCCACATAATGGGTGTCATAATGTGAGTGATCAGTTGCAAATATCCATTTTGGTAAGCTGATAAAGTGACTTGCACTCAGTTCCTCTGCTCACTCTTCCTCTGAATTATTTTATTCTATTTATTTTAGAAATAAAGATTTATTTTCTATGAATGCTCAGAAGTCTGTTTATGAAGGAATTCAGATAACAATAGAGGTTGATACTGTTTCCCAATATACCGTATCCCATTGTTTTAATTAAAATAAAGTCAGAAAGGGAAGGAAACATTGTCTATTCCTGCATTTCTACTTTATACATTGCAAGATAGAAATGACTTCATTTAGAAATATAATCCAAAACATGTTAACTCAAAAGTAAACTTCCTTGAATTCAGTGGAACATATTACTTGGTGTAAAGTACTGTTGTCTTAATCATTAATAAAAAAAAAGTTTGTAATCCTCTGATAATGTGCACCATCAATTTTTACTTTTACTATATTCACACGATGCAAAGTTACTATAGGTTAATGAAGCTCTCAATCATTTCCATATATAAAATAATAATCCAATATTAACGGTCCATTTTCTTTGTAGTACTTAATTCCAATTTAATACATATTTTTTCATTGTCATTTTATATGTAGTGAGCATTGATCTAAATAACCAGAATCCCAACATTGTTCTAATGGCTGCAATAAATATAGAATGATTAGCTGTCTAGTTTACTTCTTAAACTTCTAAATCACAATATTTTTTTCACCTAACTCACCCAGGATTAGTACTTTAAATAGATATGGCTGACTAGAGTCCTAAACCTGTCCCAGTGCAGTGCATTCAGTAGATTGGGTAAATCACCATAAGTGCCAAAACATTTACATTTAGATGTGAACATACAGTATATACAAAAACTAATTAGCAAATATTCAAAGATCAAGATCTATGTTCCTGTACAAACCTACAGGCAATCAGTAGACAAGTAGGAGATATTCACATAAACTACAAGAGATACTGTAAGATCTACTCACAATCCTTCTGTTTCCCACATCATCAGCCATGCAAGACACACTGGATAAAAAGAGCTATCAGGCTGAACCAAATGACCTTTCCTATAAAATACATTATAACTGTAAAGAATTATTTTTTCTTGTTATATATTTTTCTAAGTTTAATCTTTCAGATCTTTTAGTATGGCTGTGGTTGGAAGAGGAATTCAACAAAGCCTTGGTAACAAAACAAAAATGGGCAAGAGCAATGTAATTCCATGTGCATTATTTAATTATATTCCCCCCCCGAAAATAATAGTTACACATAATAACCATTTTTTAAAGGAAAGGGAGTTGATATACTTAGTAGCACAATTGAATTGATTATTGAAATAGCCACTAAAGAAAAATATATAGGATCAATCAATGGGCAATAGATATTAATGCCTTGCTTCTGCATTCTCTTTGATCCACCAACATTTCCAAATAGGGTATAGATCATTAAAGTATTCTTTTTCAAAATAAAACATAAAATTACTTGACTAGCAAAAGCACCGGAAAACAACATAAATATCAATAGCATAATAGCAATAAAAGTTACATAAAAGTGCTAATACTAGAAATATTAATAAAACAATTGCTTCTGTAAATACTAAACATGTTTCTTAAATGCTTGGGGAAATAAAAAGATGTTCAACTAAGATAGTGAAGGAACTTTCCTCTTTCAATTTTCTTCCCAACAATGTATCTGGATTTATCATTAAATTTAAAATAGAGTAAGCAAACATTTTTTATAGGTTGCTCACTCTAAACATTTGTTTTTAGGTTGCTTTTGAAGCCTTGAAAAAACCAGGTTGGGATAATATTGCCATTGATGATATAGGACTTTTTGATGGACTCTGCACTGAAAATATTTATCCAGAACCCACTTTGGTCCCTACAGTTCCTACAACACCTCTGTTACCAAGTAAGTCATATTATTACTTCTGAATAATAATATTCTGAATGAATACTGAAGTCATAATTAGGAATCCTAAGGACTAATTTACCCTCATCACATACAGACACTAGTACTGGGGGAAAAAATAACAAAACAAAAAGCATAATATTTCAGCTGGAATATCTTCTTCAATATTCCTATATTGTCCTGTTCTAGTCTTTCGGAGGAGCTATTTTGTTGCCACAACCAGCAAGGAAGAGATTCACTTTATTAAACAGTAAGCAAACATGAGTCTCACTGATGTTACTGTGTATTACCTATTGCCATTTATATTAAGGATTATAAAGGTATTCTTGACTCTAATTTTGAGTGACATATTTGCCTAGGTTTTTATTTGAAGATTGCTTGGTTTCATTTCACATCTTTAATTTACTGCTTTATTCTGACCTTTCATGCGATGCATTTCAAGGTGGTGTGCAAAATGTTACACTACAGCCAGTAATACTTTGGCAGTCAGAACAATTTTTTCATCAACAGTGCTATGTAGCAGTGACTAGATGTATTTTATAGCAATTCTTGCAGTTGTATTTTACATTATCTGTAGGTCCCGGACTATGCATAGTATAGCTCCACCTGAAGTACATTACAATAATCAAGTCATCTAAAAAACAATTCACAAAGCATTCCTGAATACTGTACTCGTTATGACAAATTCATACAATATTAAATAAGCCTTAAATCCACTGGAGCTGTTAACATTCAGATGCCCAACTAACATCACATATTGATGGAAATCCATATGTTGCATCACTTTGTAGATCATCACTGATGTAAACATATGACACATAGGATATGATTTATGCAAAGAAGTAAGGAGCCTTAATTAAATTCATTAATTTCCAATTTTGTTGCCACTGCAGTAGTCAATGTTGAAAGACACATAAATGATGATGCATAGAACTAATGTTATCAATTTTAGGAGAGGATATTAAACTTATCTAATAAATGCCTAGTAAATTGGCAAATAGGAGCAAGGTTAGAAAGCACAAAAGGACAAAAGTTCAGGCGCATATGGTCATAAAGCTGCTAATGATGTTCTGAAGCAGATCAACCTGTTTGCATTATTCTTTGCTAACTCTAATTTATATGCTGCAAAAGATTGGCTATATCTAGATTTATTATCTTCCTTCTGCAGATAAACAATTTTTCCCCGTATAAAAATGTTGGAAATCTAGTGTATCATCAAACTGAATAACTAACTTCTCGTATTTTTATAATGCTACTAATATTATTAAGTCTGTCTCACCAAAAACAGCCAATAAAAATAATCTGAATTCAACCCAGACTATCTAAATAGACATTGTCTGTAATCTAGTAGTTGCTAATACTGGCTTACCAAAAACTTAATGAACTTGTGTTATTCTTGTAATACAAAGGTCTGTAAAAATTTAGCATATTTCACAATTTTTCAAAATCATTAATATTCATCAAAACTCTGTCCTTTTTCAGTTTCTTCTTCTTGTTGTTGTTTTAATTGACCTTTAGTTCAAGTTCCATATCCATAAAATGGAAATATTCAGTTCATGGTATGCATTCGCAGAATTTCTTCCTTTTAAGTTTAACAGAGAGCCAGTTGGTCTAGTGGTAAAGCTGCTGCCCCAGAAATCAAGAGACTATGAGTTCTAGGCTTCCTTTAGGCATGAAAGCCAGCTGGGTGACTTTGAGCCAGTCACTCTTTTTCAGCCCAACCCACCTTACAGGTAGGAGTACTAGGTATGATAGATAGATAGATAGATAGATAGATAGATAGATAGATAGATAGATAGACAGACAGACAGACAGACA